ACTTTTACATTGCTTTTGACTTGGCATTATAATCATGCAGTGCTTTACTTTTTTTTAAAATACCTGAGATAGGTAAGCAAAAGCTCGACGGTAGCCCGACGGATTAGCAAGCTGGAGTGGCAATGAGCAGGGCACATAGTACGCAGAACTGACAGCCGATGGGGCAGCAAGGTTCTGGAGTGGAGGCCGCGTACCGGAAAACGTAGCGTGGGACGTCCACCTACAAGGTGGACCGACGACATCGTAAGGGTAGCAGGGAAGCGCTGGACGCAAGCCGCTACCAATCGATTAACATGGAAAGCATTGCTGGAGGCCTATGTTCAGCAATGGACGTCCTATGGCTGAAATGATGATGATGATGATGAGGTAAGCAAAAAACCGATTTCGAATTTGAATTTCACACTCTTGTGTGATCACACGCCAGTCCAGTTTTGAGAGACCCTGCATTACTGGATCCCGCAAACTGGATTGGCGTGAGAACAAGCCTTAACCCTGAGATTACAGAGGCTTGCAAAAGGCCTTTAATAGGCATATATCTTCCATCAAACAGATATTGCGTTAATTCGAAAATTCCACTCCCCAAAAGTTGTACAATAATTTAGTTTCGAATACAAAATGAGGGGCAAAGTTTCCCCATTTCAGTGGCAACATTCATGAGCTGGGTAATCGAATTTTTGACCTACTTTTAAGCCTGCTCTAGAGTTTAGACTAGGTTTAGACCTATTTATTTCTGTTTCCATAGTACTTTAATTTTATTCGGCATCATCATCATCATCATCAACAGCCCTTTACAGTCCACTGCTGGACTATGAGCCTCCTCCACTATATAGTGGAGGGTTTTGCCATAATCCCCACGCTTGGCAGGCGGGTTGGAGATCGCAGTTTAAAAGATTGATGTTTTTCAGAGAGCGCCATTAGGCAACTGAAAAATATTATAGGTCTAGTTCTTAACTCAATCAGTGCCTGGGGTATAGGAGCGGCACGGGAGGGGTGACATTGACATATTTATGACGTGAAACAGAGCATACAAATCAAATCAAATCAAATCATTTATTGCATTGCATTACATGTGGTTTGATAGTTGGTGAATGGTAGGGCAGCAAATCAAAGAGATCTGCCCCCCTAGACAAAACGCACTTTTTGATCGAATCGAAAATAGAATCCGTCAAAACTCCATACAAAAAAGGGGCTTTTCGACCACTTTGCGACTGGTTTGCGATTATAATTTGCACTTTGTCTAGACCCACTGAAGTCTCGAAGACGTTTGACGTTACAAAAAGAAAGAAAGAAACATTTATTGCCATGGACATCACAAAAGACAAAAGAGGTAAAATAAAAAAAAGCAAATAAGACAGAGGTGACATAAAACATACGATGAAAGAGCAAGTAAACTAAGCTGATTTTTTTACACAATTAGATTAAATGTCAGACTATATCTTGCAATTAAAAATGTTTGCATATATTAAGGTATAATTGAGAAAAAAAAATCACAAACATCATTTTTCCTAATTAACTGAATGCGTTTACGAAGCACTTAATACGCTTATTACGTGTAGTTTTAAGAGCTCTATGAAGTATTATAACAATTCTGAATTAAATGTTTTTACTTAGTTAACGAGTGAGAATATTTTTGCATAATTTTGAAGTAAAAAAATTGATAACTTTGAATTTTTATACCGCGATAACTACGTGGAATTTTCAAACGGGAGTTTTACTATCATGTTTGTATAACTGAGCTCTATACGGTTCATCAAATAAATGAGAATGTCCGATTATACAGTCCCATAACACACTGTGAAGCGTTGAATAGAGCTCCGTGATTGGTTTGTGTGTCACCCTGTGCGTCGCGCACTGTGAGGCCTCATAGTAATGTTTGTGAATCATCATTATGTCAGCCATAGGACGTCCACTGCTGAACATCCTCCCCCAATGCTTTCCATGTTGCTCGATTGGTAGCGGACTGCGTCCAGCGCTTCCCTGCTACCTTTACGATGTCGTCAGTCCACCTTGTGGGTGGACGTCCCACGCTGCGTTTTCCGGTACGCGGCCTCCACTCCAGAACCTTGCTGCCCCATCGGCCGTCAGTTCTGCGTACTATGTTTGTGAATACGGGCGACTATCTCGTAGAAGTCGCGGGCACAGCTAGCGTTGAAACCAACAAAAACAAGGAAAACCAAATACATCAGTAAATCCTGTTTGCAATCGGGCATCCTCAAACGACTATTATAACCTTTAAGTACACTGCTAACAGCAAAACTTGCAAAATAAACTATCCTCACACCACCATCGACTTTATTCCCGCATCGTACAGTCCACAATCGCCTGTATTCTTACTACACAGGCCTACCCGTGACGTCATCGTTTGGTAACAAAACATAAGAGTCTCTCCCCACCTATTTATAAGGTTCACAATCGCGTGCGTACACGCAAAAGGTCATCGATTGTGAAGACGGATGACGTAGGTGTGAAAGAGATAGGGAATATGACGTCATGGTATGCCTTCCCATTGTTGTCCTTGGTTTTTTCTTTGTCCTAATTTCGGGATGGTATGCCATAGAGGATATTTTTAGTTCAGTCATGTTCTCCTTTTATGATTGCTTTGGAAGAAGGCGAATATACAGGGTGGTGCAAACCAAGATAAAAAGTTACTCAATACTTAATAAAATTTTCAGTAATAAAATAACATGGAAATGTCAATAGACAATTCCCCAATAATTCGAAATCACAACTTTTTTTAAAAGACACTTCATTCTGGTCGTAAGCTTGTTAATGTTAAATTACCTGTAAATTACGATTTTTGGTCGCATTATAATTGAAAAATTAGTTTAATTGAGTTGACAAAATAGTGACGTCACTTGCTTGTTGTAGTGCCATAAAAAATCTATAGGGGAGTTTCGTTTTGACAGTTTTAAAAAGTACGACAATTGATTGGTGGTGTCAACACGTCTATTGAGTTGGCAAAACAGTGACGTCATCGGCTTTTATTTCCCTTAAATCTATGGAGAGTCTCTCTATTAAATACTAACCTAAATCTCTCTATTAAATACGATTTCGCATGAGATACAGGAAAATTTTCCTAGTTTCTTTTTTTTTTATGTGACAGGAGGCAAACGAGCAGACGGATCACCTGGTGGTAAGTAGTTCAGGTTCAACATGTATAATTTTACCTTTTGTAGCATAAGATTAGCCTAGAGTTTAATCTGTCAAATAAGTTATTGAATAAAGATTTTGTTTTTATAATAATATTATTTATATATAACCCCTTCATTCAGTAATCCAACATGTATAAAAATATACGTAACTATACATAATAGAGCGCAAGTACCCCATTTCGCATTTTTCTACCAAAATCTGAGCATTATTAGGCCACAACAAAGTTAAGTCTGCAATTTAAAGCGGTGGCCCAGATTTTTCCTATTGTATCAGACAAAAGATTACAGAGCAGGCTTCAAACAGCGTTTCCCAAAGTATATTCTATGTAAATCTTTGAGAAAAATACGAAGCTAATTTTCGCTTGTTCCCAACGAGTTTTTGAATGCAAAGGGCAGCCTAGTGTGAGTAAAAACTCAGTAAAACTCATTTATTTCTGTAAGTAGGCTTTAAAAAAGCACTTTTACACGTCCCAGTATTAACCCTACCACTGCTTCAGGACAATATGGGCCAGTGCTGAGAAGAAGCAGTGCAAGAAACTCAGACACTATTGTCAGTTTACATCAAACGTCGTCATAGCGAGCGCATTAAAGAAAGTATATGAAGATTTTAGTTCTAGAAAACTTCCGCTAGGGGCGCTGTACAATCCGTCATACATTTAATGTCACTTTTTTACAGTCGATATCGAATTGACGTAAACTCACACTACGCCCCTTGTTTTCTTTCTTTAAAAAAAATATTGAAATCTATCTACCTACACTACAGTATTAAGAGTACTTTCTCTTCAGGTGGCATTAAAAAATAAATACCACCCTGTATATGTAGGCGTGAAAAATCTCTACCCGAACCCGGGGCGGCCGCTAGTTTTCTTATAAAAGAGCGTAGAATCATTACATAGTATAAAAAAGTAGCTTTCCTCTGTCTGTCCCTATGTATGCTTAGATCTTTAGAACTACGCAACGGATTGTGATGCAATTTTTTAAATAGATAGAGTGACTCAAGAGGAAGGTTTAGGTATAAAACATGCATGTTATATAAGGTGTCATTTTTTATACTGATCATACTTTACCAACGCATCTAATAAAATCATACAAATACAACCCAAGCGTTTTTAAAAAAAAATTCAGGCTAGTTTTTGTTTTTACTTTTCCTAACAAAAAAAAGATATTATTTTTACAACCATCCTGTCTTCACTCACTGCCTCTCTCTCTTTCTTTTCTCATTTCATTCATACGAGTACGAACAATGGCCGCGCGCGTTCATTCAACGTTCACACACATTAAGGTTAGATTACACTAAACCTACGTTACCTAAAATTATCACTCGTGAGTATGTACGATGTTACGTCATGTTAATACGTACTACGCGCTGGGAGAAACAAAATCTAGCCACATAAGTAGGTAAATAAGTGTATTTTCATTAGTGTAATAGCGGGGGATTTTTCCAACGAACCGAGGCGAATCATGCGAGTTAAACTAGAAATTTAAAAAAGGATAGAAATTGGAATTCAATATCTACGTTTTCGTAATGCCTACGCAATTTATTTAGAGACGTAATAAAAAACTTATAGGTACATACCTATTACTACTTCGCTTCGCTTCAGTGGAAATGCACCCTAATATTGAATATGAATAGGTCTTGTAAATAAAACTCACTGATCAATTTTCCTGGTTTTAATTCCTAAATTATGATTTGCCATCACACTTTAGATTCATTGATTCACACATTTACCGATTTTGAATGTTGTTATTTAAAGTTCCTAGGTTATTATTACACTAATCACAATACATTTTGAACGTCAAGCCTTTTTTGTACTTTGTTCACGTAAACACTGTCTTGCACTGTCTAATCTAGCCACGATCGAATTGAGGTAATGCTTCCGGGCTGCACACTTGCTTGCTGTTCACTAGACACCACGTCGGATGTTGTATTCACAATTCGCGCACTAACTTTTTTACGGAAAAAGTCCCTTTCGCGTAAACAAGCACTCATCTGTCCAAATCACACTGTAGGTATGTACCTAGGTAGACTCCGCAATATCCATCGATAGAACACGGTCGCGGTCGTGGCCCTCTGGCAACAACTCCTTGATAAGGCATTCCGTATTTTTACGCAAAACCCGCCGTCTGCGGCGCTCGCATCTGGAAACCCGATTGAAATTGAAATCCAGAACTTCGTCCTCGAAGCGCACGGGATCTCGTCAAGTCAGGATACGGCAAGGTGTGAAGGTTTTCGACTCGTCAATGTTTCTCGTCGGCCAGTCAGTGTGCCCGAAACATAATTTCACCTGCGATTTGTTATTTATCAAGCGCGGCATTGTAATAACTCGCACATACACTGCAATACGTTAGGGGACATTGGACGGACTGGGACGATGTTGTAAGTTGTTGCGCTCCCGCATGCCGATCGGTGGCTCGGCGCGGGCTATGGGCGCGGAGCGACTGGCAGCGATATCAATATGGCCGACTCACGCGGCGCGGCACGTGGCAGCGGTCGTCGCCCTCGGCCGGCTACTACGATAGTGCGTAAACGAGTACTCATCGCGCTCAAAGGATGATTTATTTTTTATTTTTTTCGAAACATTCTTTGTCGTTTTACTCGAAAACTAGCCTGAATTTTTTTTTAAAAACACTTGGGTTGTATTTGTATGATTTTATTAGATGTGTTGGTAAAGTTTGATCAGTATAAAAAATAACACCTTATAGAAGAGAAAAGCCGGGAAATTCCATTGCAACCGTGCGAAGCCGGGGCGGGCTGCTAGTATAAAAATAAAGATAATAAAGGTTTTTCGAAATGCCTTTAAATGAGGGTAGTAAAAGTTTGACAATCTCTGCCTTAGGGGTGTAGATGTTTGATAATTTTCAAAAGTGACAGTCATTATTTTGGCGATTAAGCTTCGGTTTCTTAACTTTGAAAGAGCTTTGAACTTTCAGTTAAGCTGAAGATATTGTTCAGCGTTTGTAACAATAAATGTCAAATCTTTTACTTAGGGTCATAATTATTATTAATTGCCTGTCAAGACTGACAGATGAGTGATTACCTAATGAGGGTTTTCGCGATTGAAAATCCGCCAGATGGCAATACGTAGACGCGAGGTCCAAATGCTGCATGATTGGTTATTTTTGACATGACATTGACAGATTTATGTCAAAATCCATCCTCATTGAAATCTCTATCTACAAGCTATGAAGCCAGAGAACCCTATAGATCTGACGTCTTTTCAACCGACTTCAAAAAAGGAGGAGGTTCTCAATTCGACCCGTATGTTTTTTTTTTCTATGTTTGTTACGCGATAACTCCGCCAATTATGAACCGATTTGAAGAAATCTTTTTTCGGCGTATAGGTAATACCTCAAGGGTGGTCCCATTTAAATTTAATAATAGAAAAAACAACCCCCAAGGGTGGAAAATTGGGGATGAACTTTTTTATACGCAATATCTCCGCCGATTATAAATCAATTTGAACGATTATTTTTTTGTTGAATAGGTATTATCAAAAGGGTGATTTCATGCGAATTTGAAGAAAATATTTCACCCCCAAGGGTGAAAAATTGGGTANACTCACTGGGCGTGTCCTCGCAGTAGGGCTGGCTGCGGCCGCCGTTGAGGCAGAAGTCGGCGTGTCCCAGGCGCGCCGCCTCGCCGTAGCGGCCGCAGAACCTTGCTACAAGCCGCGTTCTTAGTTATAAAAGCGTTTCATCCAGCACCCCTGGTAACTCACTGGGCGTGTCCTCGCAGTAGGGCTGGCTGCGGCCGCCATTAAGGCAAAAGTCGGCGTGTCCCAGGCGCGCCGCCTCGCCGTAGCGGCCGCAGAACCTTGCTACAAGCCGCGTTCTTAGTTATAAAAGCGTTTCATCCAGCACCCCTGGTAACTCACTGGGCGTGTCCTCGCAGTAGGGCTGGCTGCGGCCGCCGTTGAGGCAGAAGTCGGCGTGTCCCAGGCGCGCCGCCTCGCCGTAGCGGCCGCAGAACTTTGCTACAAGCCGCGTTCTTAGTTATAAAAGCGTTTTATCCTGCAGCACCCCTGGTGACTCACTGGGCGTGTCCTCGCAGTAGGGCTGGCTGCGGCCGCCGTTGAGGCAGAAGTCGGCGTGTCCCAGGCGCGCCGCCTCGCCGTAGCGGCCGGCGTTGGTGTGGAGCACGTGCACCGCGCGCGCGTCACCCGGGTCCAGGCGAAGAGCGGGCGCCGACCGGATCAGAGGCCGGGCGGGGTCCAACCCTGGGGAAAATAGCGGTTATTCTAAGACACCGTAGACTACGGAATTTTGGTCGGCCGACAGTTTGGTCAAAATGTTAATATGTACGCACTATACCGATTTGATAATAATGATCAATTCCGTAAACAAATTAGAATCTGACCGAACTAGAACCAGAGTCTACCTCAATTAGGTATTGTCAGTGTTTACGTTAATCTCGTATTATTTTAAATTAAAAAAGAATTACATTTTAAAGAAAGAAAGAAGAAAGCAAAAATATTTATTTGGTACTAAAAATAGATTTATCTAAGATTTACTTAGGTCTTGTACAAGACCTAAGTAAATATGCGTAGTTCATTTCATAGTTGATGTTGAGCAACCTAAGAGTACCTATGCACATAGATGATACTTCGCGAAAATTAGTAGATAGACGATGACGTGTGAGAAAATAGATAACAACTCACTCCCTGCGTCGGAGATAAATGTCTAAAGCTACTTATTAATTGGTTTTTCGTTTAATATAAGTAAATAGTGCCTGCAGTTTTCATTACGCATGTTATTTACAAGTCGTGTGTTACTGTAATAGGGAAGAAGGAAGTCGGATGCTCGTTCGTGTCGCTGCCTGCCGTTATGAATGGTTTTTTAACTGTCGTTTGTTGTCATCTAGGAAGTTGGAGCGATGACGAGTTATGGTAGCAGACTAATAGTTAAGCCTATTACCTGTAGGTAAGAAGAACACCTAGAGAATAAAAAGTCCCCAAACGCAATATGCGACTTTTCTAAACCTATCTCCTTCCAAGTCTTCAATCGTTCGTCAATAAATCACAGAGCTCTATCCAACGCCCGTATTCACAAATGCGTTTGATTTTCTGCTTACTAAGTAAGCATCGTGAAGCAGAAAATCAAACGCACAGCGTTGAATAGAGCTCTGTGATTGTTTCGCGTGTCACTCTGTGCGTCCACGCGCACTGTTATACCTCATTGTAATGATTCTAAATACGGCCGTAAGTCATTTTTCAGTTACAAGTTTTATGTAGATTATCTCGTGGAAAAGTTTAACGTGAAAACATTGAAAGCTCTGCTAGAAAAGGGACGAGAAACCAGCAAAAGTAGTCTTACCTATAATCCTATTAAGCCTGAAGGTGAGATAGTTAGCGAGTATCCCGCACAAGTGGGCGCCCAACGAGTGGCCGACGCACGTCAGGCGGTCGGGGCGGAGGCCGGCGCGCCGCAGCGAGCCTAGGGCTTCGGCCACGCACCGCGCGACTGGCCGCAGGTTGTGAACAGCTGCCACGTAGCACGGCGGCTGGCAGAGGGAGCCCCAGTCCAGCATTAGGACGTTGTAGCCGCCGCGGCGGAGGTACGCTGAGGAAAAACGAAAACGGGTAGTTAAATTATGTTAACTCATTTTTATAATGACATAAGATAGATATCGCAAGATGTTTACCTTACTGTGCCGCAGATCTTACTCGCACAAAGAAGAATCTTAGTATGCAGGACCTAAATCCTCGCAGAAATCGTAATACTCGTCCGACTATACCAGTAGTGGTGGACATTAGATCTGTGTTAGTAGGTAATTTCTAGGTAGGCTTGATTGCATCGACCGACAGAGTGCATGCGACAGTGATCACCAGTCTTCCTAATCAGCTGAGGGAGCAAGCGCAGGTTTTAGTGGATAGAATTGGCGCACAGAGCTAATGTAACTTGCTGCAGCCCCAACTGCAGGATGATTGTGTAAAATTATCTCCGTGAAAAAAGTAACAGGCTTGCATTAGTCAATCTTATATAAAGTTTAATATTAAAACACAATAAAATTGGCGTTAATCTATTCATACATATCTATCACGTAACATGTGGGGAAACTTTTATGCAAGTTTAAGTGCCAATAAAAAGCCATAATGCCTTATGGAGTGCAAAAGGTAAAGTGCATCAGGTCATCGACCGGAGAAAGCCTGGGAACTGCAGCCGGGTGTAAGGCAACAAAATGCATTTTATGTGACGCCTTAGTTCCTTTCGCTTTCATTTATGAATCGTGCCATCCACGAAGACACCCCCCGCCATTCTTCCGCTAATGTTTGAGTATTATCGGTACACGGTAAATTATCCATGAGAGCACAAGCACATTACAATAATGACGCTCGTATTGCTCGGATCAAACTCCCCGCACCCCGCGCTACCCTCGACCAAAAATTGGTGGGGCGCGTCTTCGTGGACGGCACGATCTATAAAGGTAGATGACAACCTCAGATCATAGAAGGAAATTCTATGATCTCAGATGACAGCACTGCAAGCTAAACACTGACCTAGCATCAGGACCACAACCAGGACGCTTGTAGTCAAAGCGATTTTGCATCAAAAAGTTCTGTTGGTTTATCTACCTACATTATCTCTACCACGATAATATAGATAATATTGTGCTATACGTTATCTAGACTTCTAGAGTAAGATGCGTTGCACGAAAATTGCGTATGAAAAAGTTACAGATTTCCCGATTCCTGAAAAAGTTTCAGGTTGTTATTGACCTTTCCGATCTCTGTCCGAGAGCTCAAACTCCGAATAGGCTAGATGACAAAATTTCAATTATTAGTCTGTCAGACAGATAATTAGAAAATATTAGACTCATATTTTTTTATTTTCTTTCATAATTAAATAATAACAGTGCTACGTAGTACTTATTAATATTCTGTGGTGCTACATCGAGTTGAAATGGCGCGATACGTCACGCTAGAGTAGAATTTTTACTCAAAAGTGACGACACGCGACATTTCAACTCCTTCGATTGTGGAAAAAATTAAAAAATATGAGTCTAATATTTTCTAATTATCTGTCTTACGGACTAAATAGAATTTCGATTTCATTACCCAGTCATCATCCCTATTATAAGAAGGTAGGTGGTAGGAAAAGACGAACTAGTGCGCCCTTTACCACACAGTAATTAGTAATTTACTAAATAAATCATCCTTCAATTACTGCTATTAAAATATTTAACCAATAAATCATTTGAAAACCTCAATTAAATTGACTGTCGAAAAATTTTATAGGTAGGTTATTTATTGCAAGTGTACTAATTGCTCATGAACCGTTTCCATTGATCTGTAATAATATTGGAATGGCTTATTGCATTGCACGTTACGATATACATAAATGAAGAGAGAACCTTTCAAACCTTTAAAATAGAAAACCTCATCATTCTGTACTCGTATGTTTATTTTTCTACAATCAATAGAAATATTCATGAGATGGGAGTCAACATATTCATGGTATGATGAAATAGTAAATAGTCTCTACTATTAGTATTTGTTTATTGTAGCTACAATAATCGTATTAAGTTTTACAGCCAGTTTAGCACTCTATTTTCGGAATCCACTGTTATTTAATTTATTGTGTAAAAAGTGAATCAAGCAATTTATTTTTCTCCGACCGCTGCCTTACCTTCGTGTCGTTACTCTATCAACTAAGCCTAAGCGCAGACCACTAACTTGTAGTTGGCTGATCGATAGTTGGGTCGGTCTGTTAATCAGTCAGTATGGAGATGTATGAATTAGAATCGGGCCCAACTATCGGCCAACTGTTTTGTTCCCCAGTCGATGAAGCACATGATGTCGTGCCTGAGTGTCCGAGCAACTGCACGCAGGAGATTTATGAATGTTGCTGACAACGCCACTCTTGTAGCGGAGTTCTGGGCTGACACTGTGTAGGTTTGTTGTCGACACGGTAAGAAGAAGATAGGCCAAATAAAAGTTGGTGGTCTTCGCCTAGAATAAAGGGTGCTTTACACTGCGCGTCTAAGGACCGGGCTTGCTAGCTGACTTTTATCTCTATGTATGTATATGACATAAAATATGTCACCGTAAAATTTATTGTGAATTTTATCAGATTATAATCTGACGTAGTTAAATTACAATCTAACCCGACCTAACCCACTGTTAGTTACAATCTAACGCGTTATATTATAAACTGACAGAGTTCACAATTTCACGTTGACATATACAATACTAGAGCTACTCACCATCTCTGAGCACCGCGATGGGCAGCGTGTCGTCTCCGCCGGCGTACCCGTGGATGAGCAGGATGGTCTCGTGCGAGGGCTCCCAGCCGCTCTGCCGGAGCCAGTCCTCGCTGAACAGGTCCACCTGACATTGAATTTTTGGATTTTGTAACTTCATCGTTTCCACCCTGTATAATCCGGATGTATCTCCAGGTCACCTAGATACATTCCATAGCAGCTGTAATAGACATTTAGGTACATACATTTACCAATTTTGGTGATAAATAGGCATTTTGTATTAGTTTTTGTATAACGCAAAAACANTGTTATGCAGTTCATACCAGTTGCTATTCAAGTAGCCATAAGATAAAAATAATACAGAATGCACAGGCTTGTGATACGTTTTTAGAATCTCAATTAACCAAGAAAGTTTTAAAGGTAATGGGCACGATGTAGTCTTCCTACATTTTTTTTACGCTATGGTTGATCAAAAGTGCAAGACAATGAATTAATTTTTCCTTCTTCTCTGCAATTTCTTAAAATTTTCATACTTTTAAACTAGTTTGTTGAACTTTAATCTTTTCTTTTGATAGCCCAACTATCCCTTGTGATAAGGAAAAAAACTAGATTGAAAAGTATCCTCATTTGTAGAAATGGCATGAGAAAAAGTAATCGCAGGTGGCAATTTTCTAAAAATGCACAAAAACTTTAAAATCTTGAAAACGGTGATATTTTTACTGGGGTCAAAATTGGACGTTAAGGAGACCATGGCGAGGCCTATCGATGGTTACAGGGTTATCCATTGTTTTTGGGACACCCTGTATAGATTTTTAATTTTTAGTTTTTTTTGTGTTCACGCATTTGAAGTCGGTTTTATTTTTTTTAAAAGTTAATTATTTTTTAAATGCTGTGCTCTACAGTGTCCATAATTGTATCTTAAAATAAACCATACCACCTCTGTAACATTATGGGTGTAATAAATCTCTATGTATGTTGTATGTAGAGCCGCGTAAACAACGCAAAAGGTGGACCGACGACCTCATAAAGGAAGGCGCTGGATGCAGGCCGCTACCAACCGGGCGATCTGGAATCATTGGGGAGGCTTAAGTTCAGCAGTGGACGTCCTGTGGCTGCAGACGGGTAAAACCCGAGAGGGTTCTCGGGTTTTACACGCCTATGTTTGTGTGCAATGGAGAGCTATGCTCGGTGTTTCTTTACAAGATCACAAATGATTTGATCCGTAAACGAACTAAAGTCGCTGATATAGTCCGATGGATTAGCAAGCTGAAGTGGCAATGGGCAGGGCACATAGTACTGACGGCCGATGGGGCAGTAAGGTTCTGGAGTGGAGGCCACGTACCGGGAAGCGCAGCGTGGGACGTCCACCCACAAGGTGGACCGACAACCTCTTAAAGTGGCAGTAAGGCGCTGGATACAGGCCGCTACTAATATGTCGTTATGGAAATCATTGGAAGTAGCCTATATTCAGCAGTGGACGTCATGTGGCTGAAATGATGACGATTGTTCTCAAACCCTGAACACCATGAATCTTTCTGCAGTCGGGTAAAGCGAGAGGCTTTTACACGCCTATGTTTGTCTCCACCATGGCACTTACGGCGAGTAAACCCATCCTTTCTCCATAAAAAGCTATCCACTCAAAGGGATAATTGACAGGAAAATCCTTTTGGATCAGGGCGCCCTAGATAAACGTTTTTCACGACGCGTTTTCACGCTTTATATTGACTTCGCTTGCTAGTTGTGTGGGACAAATCTTGCAACTGAATTTAAGACCAGTTCTCCTCAACCGATTGAGCCGAAACGTATAGTTATGTGAGTACGATGACAATGCAATGTTATGGTACCATTAAGCTGGTCTGACGATGGAGTCGAATCCACTATAGATCGCTTGCAAGTCAAGTCAAAACAAGGCCATACTTTGTGTGTGATATTTCGACAAGCTTTTCAGTCTTATATTGAAGCTCGAAATTTACCTACTTGTAAGCTCGTACGCCAAAACGGTAGTAAAACGCTTGGTCTGTAATACCCCTAAGGGTAACAGGAAGGATCTGAAACTCTATTCTGAAAACAACCCACGATTTCATTTGACATCGACTCCATCCGTCTCCCTCGCTCGTCTTGGGAGAGAAAGGGATATACGTTTGACATGTGAGAAATTCCTAATGTGCGATGTTGACCCCTTTAATATTATGATTTTGGCCTTATCATTTTCTTCGAGTGAAAGGGACGGATGAAACGTTTGACCGAGTAGATAAACACTCTGGAAGATGCAAATCGGGATATAAGCGGAGCTATAAGTATTATAGCACCCCGTTCTAATATATTAGGCGACAATTTGAATGTCAAAGCCTGGCTGAGTGTGAGTAGGGTGACCATATATTGGGATAAAAGTTCGTTCGTTTCAGCCAAATGACGTCCACTGCTGGACAAAGGCTTCTCTCAAGGATTTCCACATGTGCCTGGATGCTCAAGGCGACCGGTCTTGCGCATACCAGGCACCTCCCGCGACCTTCACCAGTAACCTTATTCACGTAACAAAACTTCAACGACAACAAAACACTGAGTTGCGATCCTATTTAGTAATCGTTCTATCAAAATGACCCTTGTGAATACGGATTTAGAACTGTTTTTCAATGGGACGACTTCTGAACGTCAGCGAGATCTTGACTGTCAAAATATGTGAATGAATTAATTAGTAGAGATGGGCCGACTAGTCGCCGACTAGTCGAGAAAGCCGACTATTCGGCATCATTTGTAGTCGGCCGACTAGTGACGACTATTCGGCAAAATATGCCGATTATAATCGGCGCATTACCAAATTAAATATGTGAATGAAATAAAACTCATAATCACGAAAATTATTATGAGGTAGACCAAGAGCGTTTGTCTAAACCACTTTTGACTGCAAAAAATCAGTGAAAAGTGGTTTCACCAGATTTAAAATTTAACCAATCAGTCTAAATTCATGCAAAGTTAAGATTAGTTAAAATTACCAGGAAATCATAAAAAATGTGTAAAGTTTAAGTAATTTGTCGATATACAAATTACGTCATTTTTTTTTTCGGGGAAAATATTCATTGAATTGCATACCTATCCTGTGGGGAAGTGGTAGATTATGTGGGGCTCCTTTCATCGGAAGGATGAGGAATACCCACATAAATAATAGCCCCTGAGCTCCGTCGATCGCCTTAGTGTGAAGAACTATGGAAATCCGGACAAAGCCATCAACTATCACAGTCCGTCCCGGCAATTGCCCACCTGTATGGCGGGCCCTGCCTATCCGATGGTGGTGATAGTCCGTGCTATGCAGGCGAGGGTACCCCCCACGCCACCAGCTCGCTGACCATCACCGTGGAGGGTGGAGAGGAATCAGTGGGCTGAGGATGCGTGCCGCGATAACCGCAATTTTGTCCATACATTTTGACGTCGATAAGTAAGAATAATATCACGGCGCGCATCCTAATCTAGCAGGAGTCATATTGTCACCTCCTCTGACCCCTCCGCCGTCGAAAATTATGACATCTACCTTAGGTACTGTTAGGTGATTGTAATGTTGCCTTTTATTTTTTCTCATATTAAAGAAATCTAATTTCTCAAGAAGTGATATTTATCTCTTTAGAAATCTAGATATTCTTATTTCTTTAAGAAATCTAAATATTATTCTTCGGACAAGTAGGCATTAGAATGATCGGCAATGCCGATTAGTCGGCCGACTAGTCGGCAATTTGAAAACCGATTAGTCGGCTAGTCGGTTAGTCGGCAAAGACCACAGTCGGCCCATCACTATTAATTAGGCCACAGATCGTCGGTCCACCTAGTGGGGGGCCTGCCTAAAATTTGGCCACCGTACCTATATAACTTACAGACGCCTCCACAAAACTATTCTAACTTCAACAAATGGGAGTAAAGTTACTTTTTGAATTTTATATTATAGCTACTTACTACCTTATTGTTATTTGTATGGTAAAGCTGGGTTTCCAAACTCCATAAATAATACACCGGTTATCGTTATGGTTACGGTTAATGTTTAGTGGTGCAACTCAGCACTTCTACCACTAAACTGAAATTTTCGTAGAATTTTACAGAAAATCCTGGTTTGTCCTGACAAATCCGGACGTAAGACCACCCTACCTGGGGGTTGGTGTGACGTCAGCAAACCGCAATTATTGGCTTCACGACCGATTGAGGGTAGATTTTGTTTATTTTTAGAACGACACGACAAACTTTCGCAGTTCCCTACAATAGTCGGGGAACTAAAGGCATTCTATTTGGAGACGGAGAAACAAACAAACTGCTGGATTGTTTTCACTGTATATGCATATAGGTACAATGTACCGTTTTGCTTTATACAGGGTGGCCCAGATCAGATATAATATTTTTTTTAAGTTTGATTTGAAAAAGTCGCATTCTATTCGATTACAAGTTATGATTTTTTATATGGAAATATTTCCTTTTTGTTTTCTAATGAATTTCAGTTTTTTAATGCAACTTAGGCTGGGATGCACCATCTTAATTTAACTTTGACAAACGTCAAAAATACAAAAAGCATCGGTTATCGTCTTATAATAACTATTACATGCGAAAGTAAGGCCCAGTTATTTGTTACGCTGTTTGTTACGCTTTCACGCCTTATTAAGCTACTGTAGTTTGAGGAAAGGACATAATATTATGATAGTTTTTATCCCAGTTTTTGAAACTTCGAAGCGCGCAATATTTTTTTCTGTGACAGACAAAATTTCACGCGGGCGAAGCCGCGGGCAAAAGCTAGTAGGATATAATTCCAAGTTGGTTTTTAAATGTTATCAATACTTATTGGTTAAGCGAAATTCTTGAAAAAATACACTCAATACTTATCAGAAGGATACAAAAGGATATGCCATACGGCATTCTCTTCCAGTCAACCCATGACAGCAAAAAACTAAAAACCAAACTGTAACCACCAATTCTTATTTCCAAACGTTTTTGAACTGTATAAAATCATCCCCAAGAGGCATTAGCCAATATCCGACGCCCGTGGGAAAATAACTCGTTCCTGTCAGATTGACGCCATATTTTATGGCTAACGAGCTATGGGACACCACAGCCGCCGGGAATAAAACTGGATAATGTTGATAGAGTTATAGGTCTAGACCTTAACCACAGAATAATAATAAGTACTACCACAGTATAATAATAAGTACTACGTACAGAAGTTTTACTTCGCGAAGGTATTTGTCGGTACAACCTTAGCATTAAACGGGTCTTTAAGGAAATGTATGTACAACAATGCAATGTAAGCAATGTAAAAAATGTTAAAGTTGTTAAATACACTTTTATTTATTTTATTTATTTATTATTTATTTATTTATTTAAAAAAATGTAATTATGCTCAATGTCATTAACAATATGGTGTAATTTAGCCTGTCTCAAGAGTCAAGCACCATTTTGTTGACAAACGTCAGTGATCGGCACTGCGCCGAAGCTAAAGGGCTGACTTCGGTAAAATGATGTGACGTGAGGTGCCAAACTGCGGAAAATGGCGGAGGAAATACATGATTTAGCATGAATTATCATGAATAATATTAACTACTTATTTACTTCTCAGTGTCTTGAGGCAACTTAAAAAAGTAGGTACATTCTGTGTTTTTATTATTATTTAGGCAGTTAAATACTGCACAGTATTTAGTACACCATTTTCTTTATTTTCTTCCATCATACACAAGAATACGCGTGCGTGAGTCAATGTTCGCTCGTATGTGAGGCCTTGTCAAATAGTATCCTGTAGGTGGGCCATCGTGCGTGTTTTGTTTTCGATGTAAACTCGCGGAGATGAATAGGCCTGCCTTAACTTAGTCAGTGCCTGCCCCCCTAGACAAAACGCACTTTTTGATCGAATCGAAAATCGAATCCGTCAAAACTCCATACAAAAAAGGGGCATTTCGACCACTTTTCGACTGGTTTGCGATTATAATTTGCACTTTGTCTAGACCCACTGAGGTATGCGGGACAGGAGGTTTTTGTAACGTCGAACGTCAGCGAGACTTCAAAACTTCAGATTTTATCTCTGTCACGTCATAATATGCTCTTCGTTCGTTCGTTCGTTTCAGCCAAATGACGTTCACTGTTGGACAAACGCCTCCCCAAGGCTTTCCACAATGCACGGTCCAGGCTCTTCCCCCGACCTTTACTAGATCGTCGGTCCACCTAGTAGGAGGCCTGCCCACGATACGTCTTCCAACCCATGGTCGCCACTCGAGACCCTTTCAGCCGCAACGGCCATCATCTCTATGAGCTATGTGCCCCGCTTACTGCCACTTGATTTCTACCACAAAATCCGTTCAGTAGTTTTTGCGTGAAAGAGTAACAAACATCCAGACATCCAAACATATTACGAGTAGTAGGATCAAACAAGTAATTACGAAGGTTTATACGAATTACGTTGAAGTTCCGCGTGACGTCACTAAGTGCTACACTCCTAAGCACTTGTTGACGTCGGGCCTCTCCGTTTGAACTTTGGCGTGCTTTATCTCTTAAAATTTTCATTAGTTTGAAAAAGTGAAAAATACGTGTCGAGTATTTTTTGATAGGTACTGACGGACAATTATTCAAACTCTTGCTTTTTACCTATGAAACATCCCTATTTTATTAATAAACTAGCAACTTCATAGGCCTGGATCCCGTTTTATTCCCGGTTTGAATTTTGCAAAATTCTGTCTTAGTGAGCACCTACGTTCTAAAAGGAACCCCCATGCAAAATTTGAGACTCCTAGCACTTGTAGTTTCTGAGATTTCGTGATGAGTGAGTCAGTCAGTGACCTTTCGCTTTTATACATAGAGATAACTTGCTACAGTAACTGTTANCGAAGCGCACGGGATCTCGTCAAGTCAGGATACGGCAAGGTGTGAAGGTTTTCGACTCGTCAATGTTTCTCGTCGGCCAGTCAGTGTGCCCGAAACATAATTTCACCTGCGATTTGTTATTTATCAAGCGCGGCATTGTAATAACTCGCACATACACTGCAATACGTTAGGGGACATTGGACGGACTGGGACGATGTTGTAAGTTGTTGCGCTCCCGCATGCCGATCGGTGGCTCGGCGCGGGCTATGGGCGCGGAGCGACTGGCAGCGATATCAATATGGCCGACTCACGCGGCGCGGCACGTGGCAGCGGTCGTCGCCCTCGGCCGGCTACTACGATAGTGCGTAAACGAGTACTCATCGCGCTCAAAGGATGATTTATTTTTTATTTTTTTCGAAACATTCTTTGTCGTTTTACTCGAAAACTAGCCTGAATTTTTTTTTAAAAACACTTGGGTTGTATTTGTATGATTTTATTAGATGTGTTGGTAAAGTTTGATCAGTATAAAAAATAACACCTTATAGAAGAGAAAAGCCGGGAAATTCCATTGCAACCGTGCGAAGCCGGGGCGGGCTGCTAGTATAAAAATAAAGATAATAAAGGTTTTTCGAAATGCCTTTAAATGAGGGTAGTAAAAGTTTGACAATCTCTGCCTTAGGGGTGTAGATGTTTGATAATTTTCAAAAGTGACAGTCATTATTTTGGCGATTAAGCTTCGGTTTCTTAACTTTGAAAGAGCTTTGAACTTTCAGTTAAGCTGAAGATATTGTTCAGCGTTTGTAACAATAAATGTCAAATCTTTTACTTAGGGTCATAATTATTATTAATTGCCTGTCAAGACTGACAGATGAGTGATTACCTAATGAGGGTTTTCGCGATTGAAAATCCGCCAGATGGCAATACGTAGACGCGAGGTCCAAATGCTGCATGATTGGTTATTTTTGACATGACATTGACAGATTTATGTCAAAATCCATCCTCATTGAAATCTCTATCTACAAGCTATGAAGCCAGAGAACCCTATAGATCTGACGTCTTTTCAACCGACTTCAAAAAAGGAGGAGGTTCTCAATTCGACCCGTATGTTTTTTTTTTCTATGTTTGTTACGCGATAACTCCGCCAATTATGAACCGATTTGAAGAAATCTTTTTTCGGCGTATAGGTAATACCTCAAGGGTGGTCCCATTTAAATTTAATAATAGAAAAAACAACCCCCAAGGGTGGAAAATTGGGGATGAACTTTTTTATACGCAATATCTCCGCCGATTATAAATCAATTTGAACGATTATTTTTTTGTTGAATAGGTATTATCAAAAGGGTGATTTCATGCGAATTTGAAGAAAATATTTCACCCCCAAGGGTGAAAAATTGGGTATGAACTTTTTTATACGCAATACTAGCTGACCCGGCGAACTTTGTTCCGCCTTAATGGGCATAAATAAGCCGACTTTTTTTTTAATTTCGAACGGGATAAAAAGTATCCTATGTCCTTTTCCTGGCTCTAAACTACCTCCCTGACAATTTTCAGCTAAATCGGTTCAGCCGTTCTTGAGTTATAAGTGGAGTAACTAACACGA